ATAAATGTATATAAACTAAATAGCACATAGAAAACACATATTACTTAACTACAACATAATTATAAACAAGATTATATAGGTTTAGAAGAACTAATTGATGATAAGTTACTGAAGTTAGCAGTTTCTCTCTATTTACACTTGTTTGATAACGGCATCCATGGAGCAGCTATCATGTTTTCTGGGTTACCAGGCTAGAGGGTCACTGGCATCTCTGAGTTGTTTTTAACTATTTTTATAAAATGCCTTTATACACTATTTTAAAAACTTTTGTTATACCCATTTGCTTATGAAAGATCACTAGGAATGTGATGCTTTTAGATAAGAATGCTGTTTCAGGATTTTAGCAAAAAGTTTTAAATAAGCATACACGAGTCCATAGTGATATAAATAAATAGGGGGAAAGGATGCTTCTTATAGGAGAATTCTAAATAGTATGTGTGAGTAAATACTCTGCCCTATAGGGAATGTAACTTAATTCTTCCTTTAAGTTTAGGCTGGACTTAGTAGCTCACTTCCAAAGGATAGGGGGAAATGGTAATTGTACAGTGGAGAAACCATTCAGACACTTAATCAAGTGACCAAAGTTAACACCACCAGCAATAAGTCATGTTGATACCATGTATCCCCTTAAATGATGCCATGAGAAGTTACTTCATCTCTCTATTCATCCTGAAAACCCTTTGTACCAGTCTGATCATGAAAAAACAGCAGACATATCCAGTTGAGGGATAGTTTACAAAATACCTGCCCACCACTACTCAAAACTGTCCAGATCAAGAAAAATAAGGAGAATGTGAGAAACTGTTAAAGTCAGAGAGACTAAGGAAACTTGATAACTAAATACAGTGTTGTCTGGATCCTGGAACAGAAAAGGGATGTTAGTGGAAAACCTGGTGAAATCTGAGTAAAGTACATAGTTTAGTTAATAGTAGTGTACAATATTAATTTCTAAGTTTTGACAAATGTATCGTGGTTGCATAGATGTTGACATTAGAAGAAACTGGGTGAAGGGTGTATGGGAACAGTGTTCTATTTTTACAGCTTTTCTGTAAATTTAATTTCAAAATAAAATTTTATTTTTAAAAAGATGTCTTTATTTATATCCTTAAATGCCTAGGAATTTTGTCTTCTTAAAGGTCTTTAAGTGTATGCTTTCAATCCGTTTTTTTTCAGGCCCTGTTTTCTACATATGAATCCCTGACACAAGAGGGGAAAAAATAGGTTTTAAAAGGAAGCATGCAGTCCTGTGAAGGACTCTGTGGAGTCTTTGATAGGATCTGCTGGGAAGGTGGGACCAAGGGAGATTTTCATAGGATTTTGAGTCTAAATAATAGGCAATCTTAACTGACTTCACTGTTTATGCTCTTTAAATTTTTAAAAATTAAATATTGAACAAACATGAATAGATATATTAATGTATGTTTGTATATATAGACATGTGTTTGCATACACATACATGCACACAATTTTTTTCCCTCTAGCTTTATTTTTAAAGGATAGAGACCTGGTTGTGACTTAATTTGAATATCATGTGGAATTTTATATGAGTGCCATTAATGTATAAATTTGTGATTTCTATGCTTCTATGTGTATGTGTTTTTATTTGCCTGATAATAGGAAATTTTTTAGTAAGATAAGGGTTTTTTACTTGGAATCTTTTTAGGTAAAATATGAAATGGCCTATTTTAAATGCCATAAAATGTTTTTTTTTCAGTATTACCCTTTTTATTTTTAAGGACTTTCTTTATTCTCTCCTTAGATAAAACAATAAAATTGTGGAAAATCAGTGAAAGAGACAAAAGACCAGAAGGGTATAACTTGAAAGAGGAAGAT